TTTCTTCGTATCTGATCCTGACCAGCGAGCTTCCTGCCTCTTCTACCCACAGCGACCGACGCCTCTGACTGTCGACAACTCCACGATGCTGACCTGCCTCCCTCCTAGCGTCCTCCTCCTCCGGCCCTCCACCCTCATCAGGGACCAGAAGCTACAAGATTGCCTCATCAAGCGCCCTTACAACCCCTCCTGCCCTCGTTCCCCCATCCCTTGCAACGGCCTCCCAGTCCCTCCCGGCATGTTTCGCAACGACTTTGTCCCCGGATATCGCCGATCGATCTGCCTGCCAGCCAACTTCATGTGTGCCTGGGACCCATTTGAGTTGTCTTCGGAGATACTCGAGTGCAACTTTCCCAACCAGTCCTCTTCTTCTCTTGTCAACCCTGACGTTGGCGTGTACGAAGAAAACGTCATGTTCGTTACCATGAACGGCGAGCACTGGGTTCAGGTCCCCAGCTATGCTCAGGAATGTCGTCTGGACGACACCAGCACACCCGCATATCCTTACTACATGTGTCAGCAGACTCTGCAAGACAGCAAGTACAGGTTCCATGAGCTCATCAACCTCACCAACATTCATCCTGACGTTGGAGACTTTTTCTCCAACACAACCATCACACTCATCGGAGAAGGGTTTGTCGACACTGAGGACTTGGTGGTCAGGGTGAGCGATCAGAACATATGCGGGAGGTTTTTCAACGAGACATGTCTTGCTCCTTACGTGAAATTCCTGGACACTTTCAGCCTTGTCGCTCGCTTTCCTCCGATGCTCTTCTTAGCTAACCTATCAACTCCTGACTCCTACCTGTCCCCAGTCAACGTCAGAGTCTCTTTGAACAGTGAGGACTTTTCAGAGAGCTCTACTCTCTTCTACTACTCCCTCCCTTGGGTGATCGATACGGTATCTCCTCTCTCCTCCCCTCTTTACGGCGGCGTCACTCTTACCATCGTCGGCAAGTACTTCCGCAACACCTCCGAGCTCATGTGCAGGTTTGGAGAAGAACTGCAGGCAACAGAAGCGACCTATATCAGCGAGACTGTCATCCTCTGCCGCACCCCCAGCGTCTCAACGCACGGACGTGTCAGCATTGAAGTCGCTGTCAACGGCCAGAAGTCCAGCCCTCGAACCATCTGCACCCTCATCAAGGACGGTTCCTTGCTTGCCGTCCCGCTGAGCCCGGGTATAGGAGACAACTTCATTGACTCGGCAGACTTCATCGTCAGCTACAGCGGCCCTTACCTCAAGTTCAATGGCGTCCGCCAACCCTTCTCCTTCGGCGTCAACGAGTGGCTGAACCTTGGGCACAACCAAACTTCGCCCTCCTGCAGCAACTGCGAGCTCAGCCCTACCCCAGTCTCTGCGCTGGAGGGGAAGGACGTGGCAGCATTTGTGCTGGGCAAGACCTTCGGCGTCGCGATCGCTAGGGAGACGTTCAGGGACGCGCCAGGGACGATGCCGCTAGTAGGAAAGGTCTACACGTGGGGTGACAACTACCTTGGTCAGCTGGGGACAGGCGACTACAAGAGCAAGAGTGTGCCGAGCATTATCAGGACTTGTTGCCGTCAGGTGCTCAGCTCGGAAGGGCTGATCGTCTGCACGAAGAACATCGATCAGGCAAGTTTCATTCTTGATTATCGTCTTGCTTCTGGCTTGTCCTGCATGGCTCCTCTTGCTCTACTGAAAGCATTCGTCCTTCTTCCCTTGACCTTTACACCTGATCGTCTCGAACAGGAGAACGTCACCGGCATAGCTGCTGGATCCTTTCATGTTCTCGCCTGGACTTCCGACGGTCTACTCTACACGTGGGGTTGGAACATGTTCGGGCAGGTGAGTCGCTCCTGCGCTTGTGGAGACATAACAAGCTTGTCCAGCTGGGCCTGGGCTCGGCAATGATGGCTCCGACAGTTTCCAGCCCCTCCATGAACGATCAGCTTTACAGCCTGGGGGAGCAAGTGGTGGAGGCAGCTGCCGGATACGCTCACAGTCTTCTAGTCGCTTCCTCGGGGCATCTCTACTCGTGCGGCTACAACAACAAGGGCCAGGTGCGGAGCCAGTCAGCTATTAGACCCAGCTAATGAGATTTCAGCTGGGGCTCAACGATCGGGTGACAAGACGAGCTCCTCAAAGAGTCAAAGTCATGGCTGGAGGAGGTACACCCTCCCTGCCTTCTTTCCTGCCTTCTTTCCTTCCTTCCTCCTTCCATCTTCCTGCCTGCCTGCCTGCCCGCCCGCCCGCCCGCCCGCCCGCCTGCGGGTTTTTGTGAGTGGTCATCGGGTTGACACGGATCACAGTCGAGGTGAGGTTTGTCAAGGTGGCAGCTGGGCTCTACCATTCTCTCGCTCTCGCGGACGACGGCAGGTTGTACGCGTGGGGTTGGAACCACTACGGGCAGGTGAGGCTCGTGGAGGGAGGACGTCAAGATCGAGTTGACAGGGCCACTTTCAGCTGGGGCTGTGCAACTCGATCGTAAGGGATCAGGGAGCAGCAGGCGTTTGCTACGTGGGGGTAGGAACGGATTCTTCTAGCGGACTCTTCGATCAGGTCCAGGCTGCTGCTCCTGCTGCTGCTGCTGCTGCTCCTGCTCTACCTCGTCTGATCTCTCTTCCTTCAACTGGAGGCAAACTTGTCCTGACAGCCTGTCGCTGCAGTTGACGCCGTCTCTAGTCGAGCCCCTTATCAAAGTTCGAATCGTTGGAGTGGCAGCAGGAAGTCGGCACAGGTCCAGCAGGTTGCCTGCTGTCTTGACGGTTGATTCTAGCTCGCAGCCTGGCGATCTCAGAGCTAGGAGATGTTTACAGCTGGGGCGACAATTCAAAGGGTCAGCTGGGAGTTCCTTTAGCGTTGGATGACGGTCGCCGCCGATCTCTTCGAGCTCCTCTCGGGCTAACCTGAGAGCAGGAGGGAACGGGCTCTTCTACCATGTAGCCCCCCAGCTTGTTCGCCAGCTGAGGTCGAGCTCGACAGTCTGCAGCTCAGCGTTCTACGATGTTGGACAGGTGAGACTTTGCTGCGGGGGCCAGAGGCTCAAACTTGTACCGCAGGCTTCTGAAACAGATGCCACGCTCATAGCAAGCGGGCAGCCTCCTATCCCCTGCGTCTCCGAGGCAGACTTCGAGCGGTTCGGATCGGATGCAGTGATGGCTGTAGGAGGAGACTCCCACTCGCTTCTGCTTGCCAGACAGCGCATGGAGCTGGGCAAACCAGGACAGATCGTCTTCGTACCTCGACTGTACGTGATGGGCAGCAACCAAGAGGGTCAGCTCGGTCTAGGAAACTTTGAAGATCACAAAATCCCTTTCCTCCTGTTGGGGCTGCAGGCGTTTCCGCAGTATGACATCATTCAAATCTCAGCAGCTGACATGCAGGCATTTCTTGTTCACCTCTGCTCTTAATTTCCTCCCTCCTCTCCCCTTCCGCTTCTCCTTCCTCTCCACCTTTCTTTCCTCTTTTCTTCCTTCTCCATCTTCTTCTTCTTTCTCTTCCTTCTCCTTCTCCGTCTCCTCCTTCTTCTTCTCTTCTGTGACTTGTGCACATAGAGCGAGTACCGGACAGCTTGTCCCAAGGGAGTCAACAGCGTCGCGTGCTCGGATCAGGTGAAGAACTCACGTGACTCTAGCGATGCTGACGGCAGTCAAGGGGCTCTGCTACTGGGACGGAGTCTGCGTGTGCGACAAGGGAAGGAGAGGCAGGGACTGCTCTATCACGTGCATGGGAGGAGCTGAAAATGCGTGCACGGGTCACGGAGACGAGGCGAAGGTGAAGGGAGGAGGTGAAGGATCTTGAGCCCTCTAACAGTGAGGACAGGCAACGATGCTCATGCACAGACTTCAGGACGTCATCACAGTTCTTGCTGGGTGGAACTTCAACAGTATCCTCTTAGCAGAGGCAAGCATCCGAGCTGACGCTCGTCCGATCTGCCAAGGGACGAGGACGGGGGAGCGAGTTTGTGTTGGCTCAGGACCACCCAGCACGTGGCAAAGTTTCTCAGATGCCACAGGCTGTTTGTTGTTCTGCGCTGGCAGCACCTGCAATGAGACCAACGTGGGAGCCACATGCCCGGGCGGTCAGCAAGATTGCTCGGGCAGCGCTGTCTGCACATGGGAGACGGACTGGCCTCTTGAGTTTGACATGTACAGAGTCATGAGATATCTGATCGAGGTCGGAACAATGTTTCCCTCCCTCTCTCCTCTCTTTGAGTTCATCGTGTACGGCACTGAGGTCTCGAATGGCGACATCGTCGATCTGTGCAACATCGTTGTGTTCTTTCCTCCGGTCTTCTCCAACATCTCAAAGACCGACATATTGTCGTGCGCGAGTGTCTATGACCTCAACGGCGACGGCTTGTTCAGCCTCCAAGAGCTGCAGAACATCTGGACGAAGCTGCAAGAGTGATTAGAGTTGATGATTGATGTTCAAAATTTGACATTCTGATCGCAGGAGGGGACTTGACGGGCAACAAACAGCACAAGAGTTCTACTCCACGCTGAGGGTCAACCCGTCCTACCCCTCTGAGCGACTTCCCGGGCCCTGGGCGCGACTCAACGGAGAATGTCAATCGTGTGACTTCAAAGCGATCGCCTTCTTCACGGGCCTGCGACTTGTGGATGTGTAAGAACATATTGTTCCTGATCTCTCCTACCCTTGCTTTGTTCTTTCTTCTCGCGTACCTCTCTCGTTCTCTCCTCTCCTCACTTGCTGTCTCCTGACTCGTCTTGCTCCCAGCACCACAATCTGGGCAGACACTTCTGGTCTCTCAGCAGCAGACCTTGCAAGCTTCATCAACGAACAGCGAGGATCTCCCACGGACGGCTCCTCCTGGCCAGACGCCGCGACAGCTGCACTTGTAGAGCAGGCGATCAGCCTGATCCGTGACAACTGCTCCAAGTGCGAGCACGGGACAGTCCAATCAGGGTGCATCGGTGACGGAACCTGCGTCTGCAAGACAGGTTGGACGGGCGATAGCTGCGAGCTAGAGTGCCCAGGGGGATGGGACAACCCGTGCTCGAGGAAGGGGCTCTGCCTCCCAGACGCTACCTGCTCCTGCAACGTCGGCTTCACGGGCCCTGACTGCAGCATCAAGTGCAAGGGAGAGGTAGGAAAGCCGTGCTCTTTCAACGGGGTCTGCCTCTCCGACGGATCATGCGCGTGCTACTACGGGTACAGAGGAGATGACTGCAGGTTCCTCTGCCCCGGCCAGGACTCCATGGTCTTCACTGGAGCCAGTGGCTGGGAATGCTCGGGACGAGGCACGTGCGACGTTTACCACGACCAGTCCAACGTGTAAGGAAGCTGCTGCTGCTGCTGCTGCTGCTGCTGCTGCTGCTTCTGCTGCTGCTGCTGCTGCTGCTGCTGCTTCTGCTGCTGTTGCTGCTGCTGCTGCTGCTGCTGCTGCTGCTGCTGCTGCTGCTGCTGCTGCTGCTGCTGCTGTGTTCTTGTGTGACCTGCTTTGCTTCTAGGAGCGCTACCTGCAAGTGCGACATCGGATATGCCGGGCTGGACTGCCGACTGTCGTGCCCGGGCTTCGAGGAGGGGGCCGGGGTCTGCTTTGAGCATGGCGTCTGCCTGCAGAATCTCAAGGACATTCTTGTGGATGGAGGCTCGAGGTTCCTGAAGACAAACGGATGGCCACTGATCTCGGTCCAACATGCTTCTTGATTGTGCTGCTGTTGCTCTTCTTCTCAGTCTCCTCAGTCCTACATGCTTCTTGATTGTGCTGCTGTTGCTCTTCTTCTCAGTCTCCTCAGTCCTACATGCTTCTTGATTGTGCTGCTGTTGCTCTCCTTCTCAGTCTCCTCTCCCCTCCTTGCTCCTCTGTCGCTGTGCTGATTTGTTCTTGCAGAGTTTCCCCCTCCCCCTCGGAGCTTGTGTGTGCAACAGCGGCTTCCGAGGCGTCGGTTGCGAGCTCGAGTGTCCCTCCAACGTCCATCCCGCCAACACCTCTTCCTGCAGCGGGCACGGATACTGCCGAGCAGACGCAACTTGTGACTGCCAGTACGGGATGCCAGCCAACGTTGACTCGGGCTGGAGAGGAGGAGGTTGCCAGGTTGAGTGCCTTGGAGGAGCGACCAACGTGTGCTCGGGGCACGGGCGCTGCCTGCAGGACGGCAACTGCACGTGCGACAGCGGGTACCGCCTGTCTGCCTGCCAGCGGGAGTGCGACGGGGGAGCGGCAGACCCATGCAACGGCAACGGCAACTGCCTGGAGGATGGGACTTGTCTGTGCGAGGTGGCCTACCGAAACTACAGCTGCAGCATCCTCTGTCCTGGCGGGCCGTTGCCGCCCAAGATCTGCTCGGGCCATGGCGTCTGCGACGTGGAGGGAGTCTGCATCTGCAAGTCTGGATGGATCGGACGTGCCTGCTCCTTCCTTGCCCCCTGGGTGGTCGCGTGCCTGGCGCTGCTTGCCCTGTTCGTCACCCTGACCGTAATCTGCATTGCTCGCTGGCAGTACTACAAGCGCCTGCGGGCAAAGAGGAGGAAGCGCCGAGAAGTAAGGGAGAAGAGACACGGGAGGACGCTGCGGGTGGAGGGCAAGCGAGCGAAAGGATACAAGCTGCAGGCCCCAGGTCAACTTTAATGCAGCTGATTCACTACTCCTTCCTCCTCGCATACCATCAGAAACGCCGCCCCCCCTCCTTCTGCCGAGTATCGCACCGCAGAAACAGCAAAGTGGACGAACTGACAACCAAAGACCCGCCGAAGAAGGCTGGGGTCCTCGTCGTCGGGCACTTCCTCCACGGAGTAGTGCATCATGCGTAGAGAAAGCTTGCTCCTGCAAAACCCGACATCACCATTTTTCTTCCTCTCCCTCCTCCTTTTCATCCTCCTCCTCCTCCTCCTCTCCTCTGACTTGAGTCACCTTCTCTGCCCCCCTTCAGCTCTGTCTCCAGCTAGGCTCTCGAGCTCCTTCTTGTCACCCGGGTGAATCAGCTGCGGCAGCCGAAGCTCCATCTCGTTCCTCCATGGCACGTTGGCGGTGAACTCCTTCATTCCTCTCCCCATATCCCTGGGAGCGAGCAAGTCAGGTCTCAACTAGACAGCTTATCCTTGAACATGATCGTCCATAGCGGCAGCCGTGCGGTGAAAACCAGCATCTCGGAGCTTGTCAGCAAACCTGGGAACAGGGACGCGTCAGCTCCACGGGGAGCTGCTAGGAGGCAAATCGACGTGCGCACCCTTGCACAAGGCACTCGCATGCGCTAGCAAGAGGTCTTACCCTGCTGAAAGGAGACTGAGCTCCCGCCCGAGCCGCCGTGCTCTTCCTCATTTTGGATGGCCAACCTGCTGCAGAGGAGTGAGACGGGGGGGGGGGGTGTTGGGGGGGGGGATTGGAGGGATGTCTTGATACCTCAGAACCTCGCAGGCGTCTCGAAGTACTTCATCCTGCGGGCTGAGCTCGCTGGATTGAAGGAGATTGACACACGAAAGATCTTGACATGATGGTCAGATACTGATGGCTCCAAGAGCTCAGTCACCTCGAGTCTTCAGGACCTCCTCGAGCTTTTTGAGTAGTTCCTCAGCATTGCTCTCAGAGTTGATGGCTGGTTCTGGTTGATGGAGCTCTAAATTTGGTTCCATTGCTTACTTTAGGTCAGAAGATTGTTTATCAGCTACACTGCACTCTATGCTCGGACAACATACATCAACATATCTGGCTTTTTCACGACTAGATTCTTTTTAGCTTGACAGAGAAGGTCGTCGATCATCTCAGCTCTGTGAAAGGTTCAGCACACCGATGATGATCTTGTATCAAGAAAGGGGAAAGTATTAGGAATGATACCATCGCTCATCGCCTCCTCCTCACGTCGAAAGCTTGCCTCTGCACCAGTCCCCTTCTTGCCTTTATCAGCACTTTGCTTTTTCGAAAACATTTGTTTTCGAATCACGTACTGTCATGTAAGTTGGGATAATGAACCAGACAAGCCTCCAACGGGGGGGCAACGGAAGAGGGGGCAATAAAACCCCGTCTCAACTGTAGGGAAACAGGGGTCCAACGGAAAACCGATGACCGTGACTGACAGGAAAAGGACATCCGAAACACTCTCTTTTCGCGAACGCATCATGATCCCCTCGAGATCTTAACGGATAGCACTCGTCGGTTGAGTGTCGTAACATGAGCGACCTCTTAAAATTTTAATCAACCGACTGCATAATGTACGCACGTCTTATCCTAACAGCCGGATGATTTGTGGGGGGCGGGGGATATAAAAACAATCTCCTCTCCGCCGTTGGGGCGCAGGTCAACAAGGGCGGAGTGTGATGATTGATACGGAGGAGCATTTGACGCATAGCTTCATCGGTCATACCCAGCAGGCATTGACAGATTACACTCTCGAGTTCATGTTCGACGATCCTGACGAGCTCAATGAATCAGACATATCTCTACATGGTCTGAACTCCAGCCAGAACCCTTGCGACGCTGAGGAAAGGTGCATGATTCGGCTCCAAGTTGAAAGCTTCTCAGAGATATCAGGAAGCGACTCTCTAGTCAGTGAAACCGAAAGTCCGTATGCCCAAGCAGGAATAACAGCTTGGCGGTGGGTTGATGAACAGCCCAACAAAGAATCGGCATACCAAGAATCCTCCGCGGCCACTACATGCACTCTCCGAAACAAGCGAAAGATGGCAGAGAAGAAGCAGCGCGTTCGCAGCTCCCAGAAGGAGCTTCTAAGGCAGCTCGACGCCTTCCTCCCTCCTCTCGGTACGTGCAGGCCCGCAGTCGCTCTCTCTCTGCCCTCTGTGCACCTCACTCACGCTCGTCATCGGCAGACGCCGGGGAGGCCCGGCAACCGCGAGCGCTGACGCCGTCTGGGCGATCGCTGTTCCAGATCCTCGAGGGGGCCTCGAAGCTCGTCAGGTAGAGCGAGGAAGGCGTGCGAGCAGCAGTGCGGCCAGGGGCTGCCGGAGGCTGACGCGTCGTGGGGCTGCAGGTCCTACATGTCGGGGGTGTCGTCGGACACGGTTCGGGAAGGTGAGCGGGAGCACTGGGAGGGAAGCGCTCGGGCTAAAGGGTCGACCAGGGATGCGGCGAGCGGGATGCATGCTCGTGGTGGAGGTCGAGACGGAGACAGGAGCGATCCGGTAGGGCCACGAGAGGAGAGGAAGGGGGAGGAGCTGACAGGGAGGCTTGCGATGGGCAGGTGGATGGGGCGAGGGATGCGGGAGTACGTGGAGGCGGCGCCATGGTACGGGGACCTCAAGGAGGAGGTGACGCTGGACCTCCTGGTACACCCGGCAGAGCAGGAGCGGCTTGGACGATACCTCAAGGCGGCGACGAGGTCGACTAACCGAGTGTGAGTACGGAGGGACGGGCGGAGGGGGGAGGGATGACGGGTGAGGGCAGGCCTTGCGAGATGTTCCGGATGTGTCGATACCGGGCAGAGGAGGCGAGGGGCGTGAAGGGCCATGGGGAGACGTCTCGGAGGAGCCGAGGGGAGAAGGGAGGAGGGAAGGCCGCAAGGATGGAGTACGAGGTGGTGCGATGGAAGGCGTTCCGGGGAGAGAAGAAGCCTGGGGGGAGGAAGCAGCAGCAGGGGGCAGGGGCGGTTGTGCTACTTGTGGGGGTGCGATCGAGTGGAGCGGTGTGCTTCTAGGCTTATTTGGCAGACAAGGGGCTTTTGTTAGATGGGTCCTTGTTTGAATAAAGATTTTTGCATTGTTATGTATATTCGCCTTGTGTTTTTTCTTGATTCATGTGTCAATGATGTTCGTGTTTTAATTGAAGCATTTGTTCAATGTTTTTCAACTGTTGATGTTATGCATTCTCAAGTTTCGTTGTTGTTTTCAACGACTCAGCATGTATGGGAAGCATTCAATGATCAGGTTTCAACGGTCATCACGCTGCGTTACGCCAGAGCAAAGACTTTACTCAACTTTGCGAGGCATCAAATCGATCTTCCAAGATATAACGCTGCTGCCCCCTAGCTATCAGTCATGCCATCCGTTGGAATCCGTGTCAGTAAAATGAGCAACTCTTTGAAATTTCAACGCCTCTCTTGAAAAGATGGAGTTTTGAAACGATTGAGAACCGAGCTATTGGAAAGCATGCTATCCAAACGAATGTAACGTATGCCGTATACCTAGTTTAACGTATACCTTCTTCAAAAGTCTATCCAGAAAGTACTCAGTCGCAAGAAGGGATCGCATGGGGCCTCAGACAAAGTAGATTTTTGCGATCCAAACGGATTTTACAATACATAATCTCGAGATCGAGTCTGTCACGAGGCTATCCTAACGCTTATCCGTTGCCCGACCATTCTCCTGCCCCGATCTTACACCGCTTCGAGGGCCTTATAAACTCTCCCCCACACCTCCCTCCATACATCAGCGTCGTCCACGACACCGGCAATCTCGAGCCGTCCCAGTACCAGACTACCGAGCCCTTCCACACCCTCATCCTCGACGTTACCCGACATCACATCACATTATCATCTGTGCTCAGCTGGAAACTGACCAGCTTAGCAACTTGACGTCGAGTACACTGCTCTGATGCTCGGGAGCGGCTCAGCGCAGGGGACTGTAGACAGCAGGTTGGAGAATATCAGACCAATCTTCACTTTCACGTGTGCTCAAGACTCTCTCCTAGAACCTTTCTTTTTGGTGGATCCTCTCGACTTTCTCATGAATAGAGAAAGTGACGTGGAAGAAGCTTCGGGGGCAGTAGACTCCACCCCTGGTCACAACGAGCCGCCATGTGACGCGCAAGACGCAGCAATGCTACATCTATCAATCGACATGTTCTCTGATGCCTCCGAGACTCAGAGTCCTGAGGACTGCATCATGGACAGTACCGACAGCCCAGGCATCCCACAGCCAACAATGGAATGGAGTTGGGGGGACTCGAAGCCGGTATCGATGGCTACAGTACTGTCAGTGCAAGAAGCTTCTCTACAGCATTCGAGCACAGCAATCTACTCACCACAAGCAGATAGCGAGCCCTGCTTTGATCAGGAAGAAAAACGAAGGCTAGCGGAGAAGAAGCAGCGCGTTCGCGGCTCCCAGAAGGAGCTTCTAAGGCAGCTCGACGCCTTCCTCCCTCCTCTCGGTACGTGCAGTCCCGCAGTCGCTCTCTCTCTGCCCTCTGTGCACCTCACTCACGCTCGTCATCGGCAGACGCCGGGGAGGCCCGGCAGCCGCGAGCGCTGACGCCGTCTGGGCGATCGCTGTTCCAGATCCTCGAGGGGGCCTCGAAGCTCGTCAGGTAGAGCGAGGAAGGCGTGCGAGCAGCAGTGCGGCCAGGGGCTGCCGGAGGCTGACGCGTCGTGGGGCTGCAGGTCCTACATGTCGGGGGTGTCGTCGGACACGGTTCGGGAAGGTGAGCGGGAGCACTGGGAGGGAAGCGCTCGGGCTAAAGGGTCGACCAGGGATGCGGCGAGCGGGATGCATGCTCGTGGTGGAGGTCGAGACGGAGACAGGAGCGATCCGGTAGGGCCACGAGAGGAGAGGAAGGGGGAGGAGCTGACAGGGAGGCTTGCGATGGGCAGGTGGATGGGGCGAGGGATGCGGGAGTACGTGGAGGCGGCGCCATGGTACGGGGACCTCAAGGAGGAGGTGACGCTGGACCTCCTGGTACACCCGGCAGAGCAGGAGCGGCTTGGACGATACCTCAAGGCGGCGACGAGGTCGACTAACCGAGTGTGAGTACGGAGGGACGGGCGGAGGGGCGGTGGGAGGGATGACGGGTGAGGGCAGGCCTTGCGAGATGTTCCGGATGTGTCGATACCGGGCAGAGGAGGCGAGGGGCGTGAAGGGCCATGGGGAGACGTCTCGGAGGAGCCGAGGGGAGAAGGGAGGAGGGAAGGCTGCAAGGATGCAGTACGAGGTGGTGCGATGGAAGGCGTTCCGGGGAGAGAAGAAGCCTGGGGGGAGGAAGCAGCAGCAGGGGGCAGGGGCGGTTGTGCTACTTGTGGGGGTGCGATCGAGTGGAGCAGTGTGCTTCTAGGAACAAGACTGATGCTTTTCTTGGTGAAGAGTTTCGATTGCAACTGTTTTTGATTACATGAGACTCTTGTGAATAAATGTCTTTCGTGAATTGTTTTCTTCGGTTGTACACATGTTTATTCGTTGAGAATGCCACCGCTGATTTTGATTGGTACGTCCTCACTTCTATCCCAATGGCACAGTCACGATTGCCATTCCATCATTGATCGCTGCATGTTGTTACTGCGCTATGCAAGGCCAATGCGGGGAAGACAGTCTTATAGAGCAAACACGAACCTCGATTGGCATTCCCCAATGCAGCACACATTTCATATCCCTACACGGATGTATTCGTTTCGCTGTGTCTAGTTGGTGTATCCTGTGAAGGTACTACATAGCCCTTGCATGTATGCACCACAGCAAGACGTGTTCTCAGTCATGCGCATCAGTGTACTCTCGTGTCTCTGACACTCCATGACGTCCCACCCTCGCAAGAATCTCGGCCTTGGCCCTCAAAATTTCTCATCCAGCCTGCACTACTACTAGCTCTAAGACTTTCCCGCGCTATGTATCCCCCCTCCCTTCCCTGCCTGCCTTCCTCGCTTCTCCTCCCTCTCCCTGCCTTCCTCGCTTCTCCTCCCTCTCCCGGCCTTCCTCGCTTCTCCTTCCTCTCCCCGCCTTCCTTCCTCGCTTCTCCTCCCTCTCCCTGCCTTCCTCGCTTCTCCTCCCTCTCCATGCATTCCTCGCTTCTCCTCCCTCTCCCTGCATTCCTCGCTTCTCCTCCCTCTCCCTGCATTCCTCGCTTCTCCTCCCTCTCCCTGCATTCCTCGCTTCTTCTTCCTCGCAGACCGTGACTGATATAAAACTCGTTCGGCATGGTAGCTCACGTGACCAGAAATTATTGTCACGTGTTTCAAATCTGAGTCACGTGATATCACGTGATGTGTCTTGGCAGCGCAGCCGGTTCGCAGCCCTAGTGGGTCGGGCAGGCACGTGATGGCGGGAAAACGAAACGAGGAGAGGGAGAGGCGGGGAAAGAGCGCAGACATGGCGAGAATGGCAGGGATACATGACGCGCGTAGCAGCGCTAATGCCCGAGAAAGTGCTATAGGTGTATCTGATGCATAGGTAGAGAGGTCGAGGCCAAGGGAAGATGTGTTGAAACGCACAGGGAAGACAAGGCAATGCAAGCAGAAGATCGACGAATAGGCGCGACGTAGTGGTAGAACGAATGAACGAGTTGCATGCAATCATGCAGGTAGACACTATGTTACCTTGCCGCAGTGCGTTGTTGGTGAATGCCTTACAACGGGCCTGTGTAGGTTGCTTCGAGGAGCACAACCAAGGTAGGGTTAGGTGCCGATATAATTGCTGATGAAACATCGCCTCTGCGAAGAATAGAAAAATAGTGACAAGCTCTGCAAAGATTAGGAAAGCAGTCACAAGCTCTGCAAAGATTAGGCAAGCAATAATGCCATGATAGCCAACGATGTTGAAGAGACTGATATCAACCTTGAGATCTCGAACTTCGTCACGCGTGCGCATGATTCTTACATTCGCGCAGTGCAACATGCATGAGCTCGCAGCAGAATTTGCCTGCACCTCCTCAAGGTGACAAGACCAACCCGAGGATGATAAAATGTCGAGGCTGGAGTTTCGTAGGAAAATCTGAAAGCTCCTAATCACGTCCAAGGCCCACAACCTGGACATGTCTGACTCACAAGACACCACAGCAAACTGTTCTTCCTCTGAGATCCATGAAACGCGGGGAAAGAAACGGGAGCATGAAGAGAGCGACGAAGAGGGGGAGGTGAAGGACACTGGGGGTCAGGAGCTGAAGCTCAGGCAAGATGCCAAGAGAAGCCAGACCCAGCGAACCGGCCAGCCCATAAGTTTCGCTGAGCCTGAGCCAGGGCTGGAGCTTGACGCAAACTACATGGCGCAGATGGAGCAGTACACGATGAGGAGGCCTGGTCCTCCGCCCGGCGTGATGCAGCAAGACAGCTCGATGAAGGAGGTCGAGCCCTGCTATGCGCCACCTGTCGACTACTCTAGAGAAGATTTCCGCAGGGAGTTCAGAGGAGGAGGGGACCGCTTCAGAGGGTATGGGAGACGAGGAGGTTTCAATGGACGCAGGGGGCATCATGACTCCGGAGGCATGCCGATGCATGGCTTCATTCCCAAGGAGATGGTCTCCAGTCCACGCGATCACCCGGATCACTTCAGACGGAACAGCCGATCGCCGACGGGCTTCAGGAGGTTCGGCGCTGAAAGAGATGAACGGCCGTACATGGGCGAGGGAAGGCCCGGGCAATATCATACCCCCTACCCAGGAAGGGACATGTGGAGAGAGCATGAGGGGTACAGGGAGATGTCGCCCGATCTCAACGGGTCGCATAGAGATAGCCCGCCGCGGTTCATGCCTTATGGAGGTCACCGAGACCATGCTCCTGGGATGTACGAGGGAAGCTTCCATCGCCGTGAGGCCAGAAGCAAAACCCTCGTGATAACCAACCTGCCACAAAATGTCGTCAACACTTGGATACACCATCGAGCTTTAACTGTTGGCTGCAGATCTCTCCAGACCGGGTAAAAGACGCCATATTCCTCGAGGTAGCATGGGTTGAACTTCTCTCCCCGTACCTGTGACTAGTTACCCCAGGCAAAGAGACACGGGCGCATTATCAACCTGTCCCTGCAACCGCGAGGTCCAGACTTCGTGGCCTACCTCACCTACGTGGACCCGGACAAAGCTGAAGCTGCCCGACGATACCTCGACAGGTAGGAGAGAAAGAGGTGCCAGCAATGCTAGTCGCTCACACACATGGTTACAGGATACTCCTGTTCGATACGAGAATCGAGGTAGATAGATTGGAAATAAGCTACGATGCTTTTGGCTTTCTGACCAGTTACTCAGGTCTCTATAGAGCCCCCATTCCAAGCACCAGGACCGCATATACCCGAGCAACAATTTGCAAGGCGGAAGCATGATAGCAGCTCGTTCGATGACCTTGTGAGCGATGTGTCGCCCATACCTGCTGCTTGTATGCTGAATTATAGCTTGCTCAAGGATGATCCCAACGCGACCTGTCGCATCTCCATTCTTGGAGCAGACGAGAACGTACAGGTTAGAGCTGCTGGAAGATAGAAATGTATAATTGAAGAGCGCACAGGAGGTGGATATTCTCCCTGCTCTCCGACCGTTCGGCTCGATTGAAAACATTCAGATCCAAAGAATGAACGGTCAGAAACGAGGTGTGCGTGAGAGAGAGAGTGACTTGAACGAGTAGGCAATGCATCAATCGATGTGAAACTACGGTCATTGACTTGTGCAATAAGAGCGAAGAAAGAATTAGGTGCTTCAATCCTTTTCTTGCTGGAATGTCTGTGTTTGACATCCGTGACAGACGGCCAAGTCTTGCCAGGCTTCAGCGCCCCTTCTAAGGTTGAGTTCTCTATGGGGCAGCCAAGTCACGAACTTTGGCTGGGTGAGCAAGGATGACGAGTCCTGTCTGCTTGTGTTGACTCAAGTGGCAGGATCCGTTCATCCCACGGTGACAGAGGCCATGATCCGACAGGTGGGACCTTTCAAAATTCATCATGGGTTATCGACCCTTGGTAGCGACGACATTGGACATAAAACAATCTTGTTGCTGAACGCTAGTTGCTGATGGTGATGATTTCAGGAGTTGGATGCTTTCGGCCCTCTCCGAGATGTCAAGCTGTTGAGAGGGAGCAAGAGTGCGTTCGTCAGCTTCGCCTCTGTAAGGCTTGAACGTCTCCGACTGCCCCATGTGACCTCTGTCATTCCCTCCCTTCCCGTTGCCACCTTCACTCTTCTACCCTCCTCTCCTCAGACCCAGGTAGCTGAAGAAGCAGCTCGCTACATTCGGGGGAGAACTCTTGGAGGTACCGTATGGCGTGTCAAGGTGAGCAAGAAACCTACCATGAGGAAGGGGCTGAGCTGCTCTACAGGTTGACTTCTGGGAGAGAAATGTCGATCGCCCCTTCTTCCGAGGACCCGGTGCCCCGCCCCTCGAGCAGGACAGAGACTTTCACCCTGCGGGAGGCGCCAGACCGCCCAAGTTCCAGCGCGTGCCAGCTCATGGAGGCGCAGTAGGCGGAGCGGGGGAGGTCACGATCGTTGTTTCCACGGACCATCTGCTAAGCGACAAGGTGCTTGCGACTCACTTCCAACAGTTCGGCAAGGTGGGGGACTGAAGAGACTGGAACGAGCGTGTCTAACGTACATCAAGGTGTCGAAGATCGAGAAAGATCCCAATGGACTGAGAGCTAAGGTGACTTCCCCCCCCTCTCTCCTCTTCGTGACGCCTCGGATCAGGTCATGTTTGCCAAGCAAGAGTTCGGGTTGGCAGCAGTGCACTGCGCTCCAGAGATCCGAGGTAGCAATCATGTTGACGATGATGTGAAGTTGAAATGATGCTCGTCCTTCAGATCAGAGGATCTCCCTCGGCATAGTCAAAGTTGAGCTAGAGACCGAGAACTGTAAGCTCATTGTTTGATCCTGATCCATCTTACAACCACTACACACATTTATCCTGATCCATCTTACAACCACTACACACATTTATCCTGATCCATCTTGCAACCACTACACACAACATCACCTACACTTGCACACAACATCACTTCCTCCCCTCATTCTCATCCGCGTCCACGATCTCACCCTCTATTCATCTTCTGTGCCATAACAACAATCCGCCGCCGTCGCCACTGCTCCTGCTCCTGCTCCTGCTCCTGCTCCTGCTCCTGCTCCTGCTCCTGCTCCTGCTCCTGCTCCTGCTCCTGCTCCTGCTCCTGCTCCTGCTCCTGCTCCTGCTTCTGCTCCTGCTCCTGCTCCTGCTTCTGCTTCTGCTTCTGCTTCTGCTCCTGATGATGACGATATTTCTAATGTTGAGTTTGTGCAGCAGCTGCAAATTCCTCGGCAAACTTGTGGAACTATCCGCCGAGCGTGCCATCAGTTCCCCCTGCACCTTCAGCTCCTGTCCTCGCTCCTACTCCTAGTCATCCTCTTGTTCCAGCTACGGTCCCATCTTCAGCTTCGACTCCTGCCGCTACAGCTCCCTCTCAGTCTCCTGCTCAACCTGAAGCTTCGGCTGCTCCTCCCGTTGGCCATGTCGCCGCTTCTCAGAATGTGTCGTACGCTTCTGCTGGAGGGGAGGGAGGTGCAGAAGCAGCAGCAGCAGCAGCAGCCCCTACTTCTTCTTTTCCATCGTCAGCGAGCTTTTCTGAACGGAGCTCGGAGCTTCCAAAGTCGCAGGGTGAGGTATCAGGGCTGGAAGCAGAGCCGCCCAGGAGCGAGGAGAGTCACATCGAAGCTGCTTCATCCTCTAGCAATGATCACGCCAAGGTGCCGGCCTTTGCCTCAGGAGCAGCTCCAAGACCCTCGAACCCTCCCCCCTCGACTCCGACAAGGAAGGAATCTTCGGAGGATGCGAGAGAAGAGGGGAGTGGTGGAGCGTCCGCACCTGGAGAGAAGAAGGAAGAAGGTAAGAGGGAGGGAGCGAATGAGGAGGGCTGCTGACAGTGAGCTGTGCCAGGGCTGCTGTCGCGCCCTCCTTGCTGGCAAGGGCGAGTGGTCATGAAGACGCAGTCGGCCTCAGTTAGAATGCAGGACCTGCTGCAGGGGCAGGTGAGGAAGGAGGAAGGAGGGAGGAGGGAGGAGGGAGGAGGGAGGAGGGAGGAGGGAGGAGGGAGGAGGGAGGAGGGAGTGAGTGGAGGAGGGAGGTGGTGGAGGGAAAGGTGCATGCTGATGAGTGGTGTGAAGGGAAATCCCATTGTGAAGTTCCTCCCCGACCGGCTCGTCGTAACGCAGAGGATGCGGCTAGAGACCGAGCAGGTCGATGTCGGTGCGGGTGGGGAGGAAGTGACCCGTCAAACAGGTCCAGCTGTTCTCGGACAGGATCAACGAGTCTCTCAAGAGCAATTGCTCCTCCAAGCCCTCCTTCGCCATCTTCCTGATAAGACCGCCTGATGAAGAGGAGGAGGCTGATAGTGCAAACATCAGAGCACAATTCTCCAAGAACTTTGTCAGGTGCTCCTGCTCCTGCTCCTGCTCCTGCTCCTGCTCCTGCTCCTGCTCCTGCTCCTGCTCCTGCTCCTGCTCCTGCTCCTTGTCTTTTCTCCTGCTCCTGCTCCTGCTCCTGCTCCTGCTCCTGCTCCTGCTCCTGCTCCTGCTCCTGCTCCTGCTCCTGCTCCTGCTCCTGCTGTCTCGCTGACCTTGAGCTATGGGCAGATATTTCATGGAGCGCAATGCAGCAGGTGTGGTGAGCCTAGATGGCGCAGGAGGGGGAGAGGGCGAGGGAGGAGGAAACTTTCAAGGGCTCCTGTACCTCTTTCCTCCTTGCGTGTTTGTGGACGTATTTTTAAGTCAGAACGTAAGACAGAGGAGCTACAGGCTGACACGGCGATGACGCTATGGCAGGTACCCGATCTGAAGCTATCCAAGGACAACTCCTTCCTCCTGGGGGTAGTGCTGAGAAGCTAGAGGAGCGAGGAAGTAGATAGCAGTGACCAGAGGGGTGGGGGTGTGTGGGGGTGTGGGGAGCAGAGGAGGCAGGAAGGTCAAGGGATCAGGAACATATTGGACAAGATGGAAGACGAGGATGATAAGTACATATATCAAACATGTAAAGATCGCAAGAAAGTCTCGAACTTGTCGCGATCGTGTTGTGAGAGAGGGAAGTTGAGGTTTTGAAGCAGCTCAAAGTTTTCTCCCAGATCCTCCTCGCCCTGCTCCCTGCACGAGACTCAGGAAGAGGAGGGAAGAAGGAAGGGGGAGGAAGGAAGGGGAGAGGAAGGTGCAGGAGAGTCAAGATAAGGCGATCGAGTCATTAAGCAAGACTGAGAAAGAGGCACAGAGCCGAACATACAGAGATTGTTGCGACGATGGCGGGAAAGGAACCCCTGCGAGACTGTTAAGAAGAGGACGAGACCGCAGAAGGGAATCAACAGCAGCAGCAGCAGCAGCAGGTACACGGGAAAAAGTAGGAGGAGGAGGTAAAGGAAGAGAAGTTGAGCAGGAGCAGGAGCAGGAGCAGGAGCAGGAGCAGGAGCAGGAGCAGGAGCAGGAGCAGGAGCAGCAGGAAGAGAAGCAGGGGCACGAGGGCACCTTGATCCGCAGAGAGGAAGACACTTTCAGCCTCTAGGGAACGCGAGACTTGAACAGAAGCCTTGCCAGGGAGAGGACGAGAACCAAAGGGAGGACGAGAGGCAGCACGGGGAGCAGGAGCCTCCACTCGTTTGTTTGCTCTGATCCCTGCTCCTGCTCCTGCTCCTGCTCCTGCTCCTGCTCCTGCTCCTGCTCCTGCTCCTGCTCTTGTCCCAGCTCCAGCTCCAGCTCTTGATCTCACTGCTCCTGCTCCTGCTCCTGCCTCTGCTCCTGCCTGCTCATTTCTCAAGTCTCGCCGTCTTCGCAGGGCCCTAACGCCAACACGCATCTCTTCCTCCTCTTCTCTCCCTCCTCGTCCTCGCCCTGCCGGCGTTACCTTGACGCCCTTCACCGCACCAGCAGCCTCTCTCCTTCCTCCTCGAGCAGCTGCGAGAGCCTTCGACAGAGCCATCTTGTTGCGGGGAGCAGCAGAACCAATATCTGCTGCTGCAGCTGCTCCTCCTCCACCTCCTCCC